ATAAAATCCCACTACTAAATTGATATATAGAAATTGATTTGGTCAAACGACTTTTTTGGTAATTGATTTAGGCCACAACGGTCGAATTGGTGAGGAGAGTTCATGGCCGAGAGAGAGAGAGCACATGAGATAGAGAGAGAAGGAAGAGAGAAGAGAGAAACCAGATCTGAAAATGAGAGTACCACCCAATTTTTTGAGGGAAGAAGCTTATATACCTCCCCCAACTTTGGATCATATCCCTTTGATCAATTCAAGGGCTCTAAATGTTCCCTTAATGATTTAGAATATTCCTTAGAGGCTAAGGATAAGTGACATGACACTATGGATAGCCATGATCTATTGTAAATGAATGGCCAATATTGATATGCTTAATCGCTAAGTAATTTGCTTAACCCTTAAGTAAGGGCATTTTAGTAATTTTCACCTATGGGGCATTTTTGTAATTTCATTCAAGGGCATATTTGTCAATTTGGGCACAAAGGAATGTGGCTAGCCGAAATGGACTGCTGGTTGCCAGATTTTTTTATAGAAAAATGGCCGGCCGGATCTGACTGGTTCCATTCCAGTCAAACCGAGTTGAACCGGTTGGACTGGTTTAACCCGAGTTTGACTGGGTTGAACAGGTTCAATTCTCGGCCCAATTTGTTCTAATTTTGTACAAATTGATCCCTATTGTAATTGATGGACCCAACTAAATTGAATTTGATTAAATTGGATTGAACCAATTTCAATTTCAAGCACGAATTGATCAAATTTAGCTTGTTTAGCCCAATTGCTCTTCAATTTGAGTTAAATTGCATGGCCAAGCTAGACTAATGAATTTAATTGAAGTCCAATTAGCCAAATTGAGCTTCAATTCATTAAATTGGATGTTAGTCTAAAATGGGTCAAAATTGAATTACACTAATTGGATTAATTATTCTTAGATTTCACAATCATTAGACCACTAAATTGATCAAATTGGCTCAAATTTATGTGAATCTTCCAAAACTTATTTTGGATTTAAATTTGCATAGAAGAAATTAGGCTCGTTTGTATCTCAATTGCGCAAATTATGAAGAACCGATCGGAATCACTGATTATGGCCTGAATTGGGGGTTTTTGCCCTTGTCTTGGAATTAAAAAATTGGCTTCAAAATTGAAATGCAAAAACATAGAAAATGAATGGCTAATGCTAATTCAAATGTTAAAGGACTCTTTTTGGCAAAAGTACACCACAAGTGCCATAACTTGTGTACGGCGATCACTTTGGTGCCATAACTTTTTTTCGGATCACTTTAGTGCCAAGTCGGAGGAAAAGAGATCACTTTAGTGCCAATTTGGCTGGAAATCCGACGTGGCATTTTTTATTAATTTTTGACGCCGACGTGGCTCGCCGGAGGCTGAGTCAGCGTGTACAGTCAGCATTTTTAATTTTAAATATTTTTTTCCTTTTTTTTCTTCTTTCCTTTTTCTTTTCTTTTCTTTTTTTTCTTTTCTCCCCTCGCCGGCTGGTTGCCGGTGGCCGGCCGACCACCGGCGAAGCCCGAGAAGGGCTGGGCGAGGGCGACCTTGCCCATGACAGGCGAGGGGCGGCCGACCCTCGCAGGCGACAGGCGAGGCCGCCCCTCGCCGGCCATGGGCAAGGTCGCCCTCGCCCAGCCCTTCCCGGGCTTCGCCGGTGGCCGACCGGCAACCGGCCGGCGAGAGGAGAAAAGAAAAAAAAGAAAAGAAAAGAAAAGGAAAGAAGATAAAAAAAAAGGAAAACAAATATTTAAAATTAAAAATGCTGACAGTACACGCTAAAAAAAATTTTAAAATAAAAAATATTGACTGTACACGCTGACTCAGCCTCCGGCGAGCCACATTGGCGTCAAAAATTAATAAAAAATGCCACGTCAGATTTCCGGCCAAATTGGCACTAAAGTGATTTCTTTTCCTCCGACTTGGCACCAAAGTGATCCGAAAAAAAGTTATGGCACCAAAGTGATCGCCGTACACAAGTTATGGCACTTGTGGTGTACTTTTGCCGACTCTTTTTGGTTGAAGATTGGGTTCTGTGATGATTATAAACCCTAGTCTAAAGATTTTTTTACTTTTATAACACGTCGGTTAAAAATCATGTGTCAACGCTCAATACCCTCGTCGATCTCTGAGCTCTAAAATCTCGAAGTCCTTAACGTTGCTAGAAACCACTTCAGTGGTACAGCCATGCTGGACGGCTTTCTTAAAATAAAAAAATTAGAGATATTGCAATTATCATATAACATGATATCCGTATACACGAAAATTAGCATATATGTTACTCATCCCCGTCTTGCTGATTTAGAACTTGCCACATGCGATTTGGGGGAGTTTCTATATTCCTGTAAAACCAAAGGATATCTGTGGCTTAGACATGTCACAACAAAATATTAGGGGAGAAGTACCTATCACGACCCGCACCTCGAGGGCCGACCTAAGGGCACGGGTTTAAAGGTAATTGTTCATAAAACGGTCTGAATGGCACATCATAAAAGACAGCTCACCAAAGTGTCGATCTTTTGTTTATCCATAAGGTCCATTAATCATGAAGGTGGATTCTCCCTCAATCCATACCTCGTGTGACACGGCATTAATTTTATCTTATTTTAACAAATAGAGTCCCCCCTAGCTTTTGTTAGGGTCGGCTAGATTACCCAATCGAAAAGTGAGAATTTCGTTTCGATTTCTACGAAAACCAGTAATCATGGGTTCGGGGACTAGCTTATGTTTATAATTCCACTAACACCCTTTTGGTACCGCTAAACTTAATGTGGTTATTATCTAAGTTGTCATATATTTGTTTTTATCATTTTCATGCCAAAGCCCAAATCCACTAAGTGACGCTACATCTTGTTTTTGTGTTTTCCGTTTATGATTTTAAACTAATCCTATCCTAATCTAGAAAAGAAAACAAACAAACAATTGTATTAAAAAGTGGTGCCTAAAGTAAACACCCAACGAAATTGAAATGGCAACCTAATCTAAGAACAAGAAATGAAAACCCGCAACTTGTTAGGTATTCGTTACAATACGAATGGAAAACCCAAGACATGGTCAAGTGTTGAATGAGATATGGTCGGGTGTTGAATGAGTTTCAAAATGAGATCGGATTGGACATCGGTCTTTTGTCGTCGTCTTCACGTCTTTTGGAAACTTTCACCATGGATTGCCCCGTGGGTATCGATTTTACATTCACATCATACATTTCGTACAAGTTATATGCAAAAATTCAAGCAAATCATACTGAACATCAATTCGAGAACGAGCCTTGGGATCGGCCTTTGAATTTCATGCATTGCGATCACCCAACCACCTAATCAACCATGATTGATTGATTAGTGGTTAATGATAGTCGGCCACCATTTACATTCACAAAACGGTGATCGATGTCAATTAACCCCTAAAGTCGGTTCTAAATGTTCCGCGAGGACTACTCGCCGCATATGTATAGAGCCTCATTCATCTCACAAACATATACATAAGCGATGAATTGAACATGTGTGTAGGACAAATGACCTTATTTCTCAATCAAACAAGCAATGGAAAGTGAGCCTTGAGAGGATCACTTAATTCAACTAAAATTTGTCAAATTCGGACACATTATGTTTAAATGCAATTAACCCACCAAACGATGTCCAAATGACGTGAATTAGGTGCCATTAGAAATCTTAGGTCGTGAGGATCAAAGTTCAATTTCCTACTCAATTTTTTAAAAAATTGGGATTTGACCTGGATACCCTTGACCCAACCCGATTTTGGCCAAGAATTTAAAAAAATACAGGAAAAATAACAAACATTATCCAAATCTTGCCAAATTTTGCGGGTAGTTAGGAAAACATGTGACGAACACTTTAATGTTTTGAGTTTTTGCCAAAACCCCCTCATCTTTCTTTAAAAAATTGGTTTTCACTTGGGACTCAGTTGCAAACCGTTTTCCAAAAACAAATTGACCTTATCCGAGTTTTTTTATGAAATTGACTCCCCCAAATGTTGCAATCAGGTCCTCAAACTTTGAGCTCCTCAAATAAAGACCCCAATGAACAACTTTGAAGTTTTGAAATTTTGCAAAAGAGGTTATCAAGTTTGACGAAATTGCAAAAACACGGGTGAATACTTATAGGCTTAAATTTTCGGATCTACACACATGATCCAATCAACACAATGATCAAATTAGGGACCAAATGCAACGTTATTTTCTAGGCATGTATAAAAAAAGTTCTAGTTTTTTCAAATAAATTCAATGGAATCCTTCATACATATAATATAGTATTTAAAGGATAAAACGATGTGCTAATGACTCCAAAGACAAAAAAAAAGTAAAAAAATCTTTAGTAGCTTTGGGTACTTCCCCAAGGAGCTCCGCTAATGACTAGTATCAGATAATTTGTTAAGGATTAAGCTAAATTTATTTAAAAAATTAAGGCCCATTAAAAAGGAACTTATCAATGAGATTAAATTTGACAAGTACCCACGTATAACAAGAAATTCTTACAATAGTTGGCAACATATTGTCACCTTTGCAATGAACCTAAAATTTGGTTAGAAATCCATATCATTCAACTAAATGATATATATCATTAAATGAAAAGGATCCCCTTTCTCCTCTACCTTTCTAGTCATCAACTCATTCAACAACTTGAATGAATTTCTGAGTATATAATTGTACTACTCTAGTTCATCTCAACACATCACTGCACTAGGTCACAAAGCTGTCAAGGCTCTTTGAGAGAGAGAGAGAGAGAGCGAGAGAGGCCAAGTACAGTTTAGGTGGGAATAGCCATGGTGGTAATAGCATCCAAGAGAATGGGCTTAATGATGCTTGTGGCGACTCTCATACTGTGCTCGTCCATTGGTGTCGACGCCGACGCGCACATACTTTTGTCGCGCAAGTGGAGATGTGTAATTTCATGTGCCTTTTCACCTCCCGTAATTCCATGCGTGCTCAAATGCCTCATTATTCCTCCCAAACCGTCCCCACCGTCCTCGACGTACGCGGAATCGCAACACTGCGATGTCGGTTGTTTCTTGTCTACTTGCCTTGACTATCATCAAGGTAAAAATCTTCACATCAAGATCGAAAAAATCGTAGCTTCTTGTGAGATCCGTGAAACCAAGGAAGTCATTATATAATCTTATTTTCTTTATAAATGTCTCATTGATATATTTTAAATATGAGAGCATGGTTGCGTACCAAATCATTTCATTTCCTTCGACTTCCATATATACACGCTCTTGTTAAAAGAAATTCAATTTCCATTTTAATTTGAGTGACTTTTTTAATCACTTGTTTCATATTCGAACTTATGTAGACACCGAGAAAGTTGGAATGGACGTGAACAAGGCTGGAGCTTGTGCAGATTCATGCTCTCGGAGTTGCCGGAAGACCTATCCATTGCACTGAAGTCATTGAACTTTTGTAATGCCTTTGTGGTTTCATTGCTCAAGAAATAAAAAGTGTCTTTTTAATATTCAACTTGTCCATGAGATATAAATACAAAAGAAAAGGTAACCCCTACAATATAACGAAGTTGGCTTTGTCATGCCTCTACTGATTCGTATCGAAACATGATTGTATGTTTTCACACAGTTAAAGTTTTACGGTGTGCATAAGATTGTTAGCCTCTGGAACGACATCACATAAGTGTATCACTTGGTGGTATTGCCAAAAAGTCGAATGAAATGATATGTATGAGCACTTGTTAAGGCAAGAAAAAAAAAGAATTATATATATCATTCACCGAAAGTTAACTTTGTGAAATACGGTTGTCTCTTCTTACCGGCTGATACACGCATGCATACCCACTATAACAAAGGTTGGGTTACGCCTAACTCGCTATTGATTCATCTTCCAAAAAGTTCCTTAAAAAAGTTCCATTCCCCAAAAGCACTTGGTCATTCCCAAGTTTGGTCGATTGACTAGGCCTCGTCCGCGGCAATCCTGGGTGCCAGTCCGTTGGCACCACCGAATGGGCTATTAAACCCACAGAGGGGTCCAATCAGTCTGCCATCCTCGGTCCACTCATACCAAGCCTCGAACACATGTAGGATATTTTGCTCAAGGCCTTCATTAACCATGACTTGGGAGATGACCTTGCGGTAGGCTCTCCCTCCGGCCGCATCAATCACGTCGATCACATTTACTAGCAACTCTATGAGGGTTCCAAAACGCACTGGATGAGCGGCCATCCTATGGTTCTGAGGGAAAAATAACGAGGGTAAGTCGAGAACTCAGTAAGTAAAATTCACCAAGTAAAATTAGGAGGAATCAATCGTCATTAGACATAGGTTCAACCTTACCACCCTGGTGTCGACGGCAAATCAATAGCAAAGATGTGTTTACTGTCCACACATCACTTATGATGTAACGCAATTATCAAACAAATATGAAACATGGTGTTTTTATGATGCATGCATCAACAAACGCAAAGTATTTGTTTGGTTCATTGTGCACAAGGCATATTTTCCCTTTTTCTCGTCTAAGCTATGTCTCGAATCATGCTTTGCTTATATTGGCAACCATACAAACAAAACCCGCATTAAATCAAGTCCAAGCATGGTTCGGGGTCAAACACTTAGCCAATAACGTATTGGATCATCCTATCTCGATATTAAAGAATCTATTTACTCTACTCGACGAAGCGAGATTTTGTGGGGACCAAATGGTGACGTGAGAATGAAGTGGTGATTGGCGTGAGAAGGAGATGGTGGTATGAGCAAGAGAGAACCGGTTGGTGGGGTAGGCGTGAATGGTGACGGTGTGAAGAAAAAGGAGACTAAGGGGGACCCAAGTCTATTTATAGTATGGTCCATTGATAGTCCTAATAAGCTAAGGCCAAAATCCATTAATGAAGGGGCCCTTAAAGTCTAAGCTTCATTATGATAAGGCCTTGAAAGTCTATGGCCATAATTAAGCTTCTTATGCAAGCCTTGAATTGATGCCACACATCTTTCAACTTGGTTTCCAAGTTTCTACCTGAGAGTCATCAAGCCCTGTAAACTCCTTTAAGGCATAAATAAATCATGATAATCTCTCTCTCTCTCTCTCTCTCTCTCTCTCTCTCTTCTCTTTGGCCGAGAGCCTTCTTGTTAGGCGTAAGTGATAGTCTTGGTCCTCAAGACTCAATTATAGAAGTCTTCCACAAGATTACTATCTCTATTATTAAGGTCTTATTGGTCAAGCTTTATCATTGACAACTTTCTAAGGAAGTTGTCAATTATTAGTGCTATATTTCAATTATGAGACAACTTCCAAAAAAGTTGCTAATTTGTCCTCTAGTCCATAGCTTCTCCCTTGGGCGTGAATCACTTTCTCGAGGTCATAATTATTGGCTCATGCAAGAGGGCAAAATATCGAGGTACTTCAACACCATGGAATCGTATATAGAATATTATCGAAAGTTGGTTGGCAAATTATCAAGGTACTTCAACACCATGGAATTGTATATAGAATGATCCTATCAAGTTGGTTGACTGGGGTTCATGAAGTTTAATCTAATGTGCAATGTAATCCTTGAACTTTTAATTTGTTTAATATCATCTATAAACTTTTGGTACATGTTCAATTTAGTCCCTGAACTATATGAAAATATTCAATGCAATCCTTTCCATTAACTCAAGTTTAGGGAGTACATTGAACATTTTCATATAATTTAGGGACTGAATTGAACATGTATTAAATATATCAACTGATTGCGGAGTTTCGATTTTAGACCATCCTAGAATCTCTCTGCCTTATCCAAACGATTCTCGACCATCCTCGGCGCGAACTTAGACAATCTTGCAAACTCCGCCTCGCACTGATCCACAGTCATCTGATTCTGGCGAAGCTGTAGAAACTCTGCCATTTTATGTTCTTGGGCACTCTCACAAAAGTATTTCGCATTAAAATTTTCAACAAAGGCATCCTAGTTTGGAGCCGTGCCTTCTGGAAGGATCCTACCTCGGGTTGTTTTCCACCAATCACTTGCGTTTCCTTGAAGTTGATACACCGCTAGGGTCACTTTTTCCTCTTCTGTGCACCCCAGAAGTTCAAAAGCTTTTTCCAATTCCTTAACCTAACGAGTGGCAGCCTCGGGATCTCCTTTCCCTTCAAACTTAGTTGGCTTTAACTTTAAGAATTGCTCCACCAGTTGGTGCATCGAGCGACTTCCATTTCCATTATTACCATTGTTCCCATTAGCCCCATTAGTGGCGGCAACCGCAGCCTCAGCAGCCTGAGCAACAGTGGCAGCTTGCTCTTAAGCTTACCTTCCCATCAGATTTCCGATTTCCTCTAAACTCTTATGACCCCATCTACTCGCGGGCCTTCCACCACTCCAGCCTGAGAACCAGATTGGCCTCTTGTCCCCATTCCTCGCCTACTCATCCTCATAGGGTTCTCACAACACACCTAAACCTGCTATAATTCTGTCCAGGAATTAGAGATCTACGCCAACTACTCAAGTCTAACATTCCTAAGCAGCAAATCACAATAGCAATTATAGGGCAAGCATCCACAGAGCAAGCATGAGGAACACACAATTAATGGAGTTCCAATCTTACTTTACTCCTTGCAGCACTTGCAATTTAGCATACTCACAACAAACAAATCATCCAGCACTCACAAGCATACGAACGTTAAGCATACATGAAACATTCTAGCTTGTGATCACAAAAGATCTCCTTAATCACTACCTCAAAGTCATCGCTCCTTATCACTTCAAGTCTCAACCAAACTCGGATCGAGCTAAGCTTGCTCTGATACCAATTAAACGGGGATGTCACGTCCCGATCCCCACGAGCACTCAACATCCCGCCACGATCGGTAAGAATGCGACATCCCAGGACTTGTCGCCAACCTAAACAAACGGACTAAAGAGCAACACACACGGAAGCAATTCGAACTCTCTATACAACAAACAATTAAACGGAGTAATAAAGAGACAATGGAATCACATCAACAAAACACTTTTATAGACAAAGCGTTAATTACAATTGCACATCATACAAGCCTTACTATAGGCCATCACTACAAACCATGCACATTCAAAAAGGGTCGGATGGTTGGGTTAGCCTAACTTCTCTGCCAAAAGTTGTACACGAAGGACGGGAATACTAAGCCTATCAGTCACCTCCATGATACCCAGGCGGCATCACCGGATCTTCCATAGCTTCATAAGGCTCATAAGTTTGAAAGTTTTAGGGAAAATAACAATGAGAATAATTTCAATAAGTTACTATCTAAACCTCGCTTAGGCTAACACGTACCGCTGGATAGTTCAAAGCATGCAATTCCAACAATTAACGTGTCACATCAATCATAGGTGACCTTACCTCATCTTGGCACATACATCAGCCCTGCACGTTAGCAAAACCACCACAATATGGCAACCACTCAACAAACATCACAGCCTGAATCGGGACAAGAACATGCATAGCACACTTAATAATCTAGACATGCCCAATAACATTCTCAACATGGTATACCACAATGCATATCGCACTCACAAAGTCCAGATTATTAGCGGTCCCTCGAGCTCCCTGAACCCACGTAAAATGCATCAGGTTATCGAGCTGGCATTACCGGGTATTGTCCGGCTACGTCAGCGATGGCATCGTCCCGCGTCACACGCATCAAGACGGCATTCTAGGAGGAGTATCAATCCGGCCTCCACCGCGATTGGCATCCAGGCTCCTGCTGGGCATCTGATAAATCGGGCATCATCTCGTGTAAAATGCATCAAGATGGGTTACAACCCCGCGTAATACGCCTGAGGGTATTATGTGATCATATAGGCGTTCAACACTCAAATCAATTCTCATCTTTTTGATTAGCCAATTGCCATGCAACCATACTCAACTAGCAACTATCCGTGCCCCTCACGTGCAACAACAACATCGAATAGATCCCGGGAGAGAGAAAACCAAGTTGGATAGAACCCGGGCAAAAAAATAAGCAATTGTGCAGTGACCGAAATCTTTTCGAAATAAATAGTTATTCAACTCCAAAAATTATGAATTTTGGATATGTCCTAGAAAAAATCTTGATAAACATTTTTCATGAAGAACACGAAACCCAGTTCCAACTGTAAACAGCTCTTTTTGTCACCCAAATTCAAACCAAAATTTGCTCGCTAGGACAAACTGTTCGTCCTTCAAAATCCATTTCAATCAGTACCCAACTATCCTTGGAAAATCTTGAAACTTTTATATGTCATAGAAACAAGTGTCCTTGACAACTTTCGTGAAGAAAGTTTATTGAAATGGGGTCTGGAAAATTTTATAAAAATTCCGAAAGACAAGCTGTGTGGGTGAATAGTAAACCCGGCAGAATTGAGACGGTCCAAAAATGGACTTACGAATGCCCCCAAACGGTCTCCAAAAATTCTAGGTTTAATATATGATATACTTCAATATGTTAGAGACAACTTTTACGCGGAACACCTCCTCAAATTCGGCCCACACTCATCTTCACAAAAATAACAAAACAACAGG